AGAGGGGCTATTTATAGGGTTAGCATTGACAGTTCAATGTCAACAATGGCCGACTATCGTCTGACACGCATTTAATGCCTTGGTAAACTGAATCGACGGGACATCTATCACGTACGTCATGGTCGGGCTCGATGCAAACGTCAGTTTGTATCGAGTCATACCATTGGAAAATCATGTCGTTTCTCGCCACATTCTTTCTAAGAAACGAGGGGACTATCTGTATATGGTCAAAATCGATTTTGACCTTCGTATGATTAGTCAAGATTAGATCATAATAGACCGAAGGTCATTTTCATATATCGAGTATGAGATCTGAAGCCAGGTTACTGGGCTCAAATTTCTAGGACTGATCAAATACCGAAGTCGAAGTCATTACCGAGATCGAATCCAAATCGAACTATGATGCGAAGCGGCGTTATCGAGCTTGAGAGCCGGAGACCGACCAATACCGAGCCCAAGTCAATATCGGTCCCCGAGTCAATATCGAGTTCGAGTCAATATCGGGCTCTAAATCTGGAAAGCAACGAAAACCAAGTCCGATAAAGATCGAGCTAAGGGACAAAAGCCATTACAGCCGCACTAAGGGAGAGAATCTCGTCGGGAATTAGGGAAAAGTTAATCTATCATAGGTTCCCCGCTATGTATTTTTAATTATATCCAAAGTAGGATCCCTCCACTATAAGAGGGATGGCTATTATTTCTGTAAGGGCATCCAATATTAAGGCATACATAAACTCTCATATTCAGATATTACCATTCACAGAGAAATACATTAGAGATTATCCTCTTGTGAGCTTTATACATTGATTCATCTTGCTTGTTCATAAAATTGTTTTCTATTCAATATTGGTTCGTATTTCATTCTTTATAGTCAATATTCAATATATTTCTACTAACTTTTCTGATATGTGTCAAGTTATACTACGTACCCTTATAACTACGTATAAATTCAACTCTATCCGTTTTTCGGATAAACAATATTGCTTCGAAATTAGGTGTTCACGTGTGTAGGCATGCATCGTTCTTAGTTGTATGCTAAGCCTGTGTTTTTTTTTACTTTTCTTTTGTGATTTTTCATCAAATTATGACTAAGAAGGATATTTTAATTTAAAACTTTTCCCCTTATATGTGAAAGAATTTGAGTATTCAATCCAAAATTTAAGGCAATGAGTGGAGTGGTCCAAGACATTTATAAACTCGTTAAATAACCGATAAGGGACAACTATATTTCTCTAATAATTTCAACAAATTATGTAGCATGATAAGCAAAAAAGAAAATCTCTAAATTTGGGTAGAGTAGTGATAAACACAACCGCACAAGGAAAACACAAGTTAGCATAAAATTATTACTAATTCCAATAAAGTAGTTTGAGTTTGAGCTGTAATTGATTGATTCACGTCTCATCATTCGTGCATAGTTTTCAAGTCTTACGCTTTAAAAATTATTTACATGGTAGCGAGGCGCGAATCTAGTAATAAAGATACAGGTTCATTTAAACCCATAACGTTTAGCTTGAATTTATTTATGTAGAATCAACTATAATAGATGAAAATATTGAATTATATATGAACTCATACTTCAAACAACATGATGGGTTATGAACTCATACTTCAAACAACGTGATGGGTTCGGTGGTTAGAACCCGACTTTTGAACCCATAGAATTAAAACCTTGAAAATCCATCTTTGATGGTAGCATTAGTATAATGAAAAGAGAAAAAGTTTACCTCATTCAAAGATGTGAAAGCAGAAGAAAAGGAAGTTATCGCAAATGCGTTGGTGGCTATATCAAGAGGCCACTTAAACCTGTTTAGTAAATTTATGCGAGAGAGACACAAAAAAACTTGCTTTCTTATCTATGTATCAATGACAAAAGGAAGTAACTAATTAAGTTATAGTGAGTACAAGTTAGAAAGTTAATTCGTCAAAAACATGGGAAAGAATGAATGTTAAAAATAAAAATAAAAATTAAAATTGAATAGGAGTGTAAATATATTAACTACTGAGAGAAAATTTTATTGTTATATATAACTTATCTGTATAACAATAATGCTAATATTTTGGGGGCCTTTTAGTATTTGGGGCCTAAGCCAATTGCTTTAGTAGCCTTACCTTTCGGCCGTCCCTGAGTTATCGTCTACCATAAAAAGATTTAACGAAAATATTGTTCATATGAAAGTGAGTCTTAGTGTAACCGGTAAAGTTGTTGTCATGTGACCAGTATGTTACGGGTTCGAGCAGTGGAAACATACTCTTGTAGAAATGCATGCAGGGTAAGACTGCGTACAATAAACCCTTGTGGCCCGACCCTTCCACGGACTCTGCACATAGCGGAAGCTTAGTGCACCGGGCTGCCCTTTATTGTTCATGCATCTTCGTACAGTTACAGTGAGCAAAATTAAAATTCCATTTAAGTACTGGCAAAAAAGCTATAAACGGTCAATTGTAATCATCATTATATTAGTCTTGAGCACACTTCAAGTTTCTTTCCTAAGTGCTGGAGCAAGATTAAAATTGGCTAGACAAATTTTAAAGAACAAACAAAGAGCTTAATTACCTTATGTTATAATAAGAAGTTTGAGAAATGGACACTCCTACTATACCCCTAAACTACAAGCTAGCGCGCATGCAATGGCTGAAAAGTCGTTGTTGTTGCTAGTTGCTTACCATCTCGAAAATCTCTCTTTTGCATCTCTTCTAACAATGTCTCAATTCTGATTGATTAGCTTCTCCTTTGCGCAAAAGAGTGTGATTCACTTGCATAGTTTAATTAACATGTATGTTTTACCATTCTGACTGATGATGATACCTATATTGTTCCTCTTGTGATTTCAATTAATCCAATCCAACCTTATCCCCATAATATCTTCTTTTTCCCCCATTGTAACTTGCCTGATTATTTCCAGCATTGTCATCAGTTGCTATCCCTAAAATATCAACTGTTAGTTTTGAGAAGAATGAAAAATCCCATTTTGACGTGGTACATTATTATTAGGGTCTTCTCTACTCATTCCCATGATCTTCTCGATCGAAGGGTAGTTCAAAATTCCCAACATATAAACCACTGCCAATAGTTCTTGGAATATTATATTACTTCGTCCACCAACTTCTTCAACTGAGTTTGAAGAATTATTAATAATATTTTTGCTAGTTGGAACAATTGGTGGATTATAACATGTGAATCCTTTGAGAAGTATAGGAGCAATCGTGTTATCGCTAATTCGTGCTCCCATTTCGGTTGCGGAGGTGAAAGCTGATCCAGTAGTAGTAAAGTGATATTGTTATTATTTGATGTGTTTCTTGGATTAAAATTATATCTGAGCAATCCATATTGTAGCTTGGTTTGATCATCTTCATGCCATGAGGATTTAGGCCACGGGTTTTGAGGGGATTATTCGCAACAATTTCACGAGAAATATTGGAGAAAAATTGGTGAACTGCAGCTTGGTTTTGTAGGATTATTCCTCCTGCAGTGGCATTGGCAGATAAATTGTGTTTCATTTTTTTTGTTCTCTTCAGTTAGTGCATCACAAAAGGCTCGGTGTGTTACAAACCTGTCCTTCCTACAAATGCAATATATTGAAATAAGGTTAGATCACTCCTGGAGGCTAGAGAGAGAATTATTAGTTGCATTCCAAATTGAGCAAATTAATCAAATTGACCATTCCTTACTCAAACCTAAAAGTCGATAATGATTTATTGAAAATCAATAGTTCGAGCTGTATATATAGGAACTATAGTGAAATATTAACATTACTTACAATCTTTAAAAATAGTTTTCAAACCGTGTTACGATTTGACATTTTATATACTATATGTTAAAGCCTTTTGCATTACAAATCAAACTGAGCTTACTCGTACCTATGTTTACTCCAAATTAACCTCTTAATGTAATACATGTGTCATGTATATAAACTTGTATCCGTTAGCCATAGTAAACTTATATGCATTTTCACTAATTTGTTACTCTTATAGTTAAATTGTTTGGTACGAGTACTCACCTCGAGAAAATGAGAGTCCTGAACCAAATATGATTTTTTTTTACTCAAAGCACAAAAATAGATGAAAAAAATAATTATTGATTAATTTATGTATAACGCATGGGTTGTAGGGGCGGAGCCACCCTTGTCCGAGGGGTGTCAACCCCTTCGCCGGAAAATTACATTCTACGGATAGGTTTATATATATATACAATGAGTTGACAACCCTTGACACAAGACAAATATCTAGCGTAATGGTTAAGGGGTGTCAAAAGATGCTGAAGGTTGCAAGTTCTATTCCCGATCACGGCTCATATTCTCAAATTGCTAGTGTTCATTCTTGTTGTCGACTCACCGAGACGCCGATTCGTGTTGTTAGTCATCTTTGAAAATTGTTGGATGTTGGTCGATCTTCGCCACTGGTCATGGCAGCCATGATAAGTTCCTTTACTCTATTTCTTTGTCCCTTTCTTTTTAGAAGTTGGGAAATGTCTTTCTATAAGACTATAACTTTCACTAGAATAATTTAATGGAGGACAAAAAGGATTAATTCCAGTGAAACAAAATATTACTTGTATTTCTTCTAACTGTGAATTGACAATTGTTATAACTGTGAATTGTGATATTTTATAGAAAATATTACTTGTATTTCTTCTAATTAAATTTTGTTTTATAATTCAGAATAAAAAATCATTGAAGCAGTTTTTTTGTAAAGTACCAAAATCAAGTTTGGCCGCTCATAATCAATCTAATTTGAAAGAAGATGCAGTACCAAAATCAAATTTGGTCACTAATAATCAATCTAACCTGGAAGAAGATGCCAACCAATCAGAAGTACCACTGCATTCTTCTCAAAGACAACAAATTAATCTTGAAACTTTAAACTTTGATCCGGCAGAAAGAGCTCAAATCTTGGATTACCATCCAAACCTCTGAGATGTGATTAGAAGAGAATACATTCATAGAGGTGCTTTTCAACCTCGAGAACATAACTTTCCTCAAACAAATTTTTATGTAGTAATGCATCGTTTTAATCCTGAATGGTTTGTTGATTATCATGGGTGGTTGGAGTATAGTATAAGTAACGATGCAACATATTGTTTGAGTTGTTATTTGTTTAAAGACGATAACATTCATCAAGGTGGAGGTGATGTATTTTCGAGCATAGGGTTTAAGAGTTGGAACAAAAAGAAGAGCTTTGATAAGCATGTTGGTGGGCCAAGTAGCTTTCATAACCAAGCAAAAAGGAAATGTGTAGATCTACTACGGCAACAACAGTCCATTATATATGCATTTGAGAAGCAATCTGATCAAGTTAAGCATGATTACTTGATTCGCTTAACTGCTTCGGTTAATGTCGTAAGACTTCTTTTGAAGCAAGGATTTGCATTTTGGGGTCATGATGAATCTAAAACATCATTTAACAGGGGTAATTTTCTTGAAATTCTCTCATTGTATACAAAAGAATGTGATAAAATTCATGATTATGTATTGGAATATGCTTCTCAAAATGATTAGATAACTTCTCCAATGATTCAAAAAGACATTGTGACTGCATGTAAGATGGAAACAATTAAAGCTATCATTAAAGAATTAAATGGTGACTACTTTGCCTTATTAGTCGATGAATCTTTTGATGTGTCGCGAAAGGAGCAAATGGCTATTGTCTTACGATATGTTGATAGAATGGGATTTATGGTGGAGCGACTTGTTGATATTGTTCATGTCAAAGATACGTGTGCTTCATCTCTAAAGAAGGCAATTGTTGATTTATTTGCTAAACTTTCCTTAAGTCTATCATATGTTCGTGGGCAATGTTACGATGGAGCAAGCAATATGCAAGGTGAGCTCAATGGCCTTAAAATGTTGATTAGGCAAGAAAGTAGATCGGCTCACTCTATTCATTGTTTTGCTCACCAACTTCAATTAACTCTTGTTGCGGTTTCAAAAAAATGTATTCAAGTAGGAGAACTTGTAGTTTTGGTCTCAAATATTTTGAATGTGTTGGGATCTTCTTTTAAGCGTATGGATGAATTTCAAGAATCTCAAAAGGAAAGAATTGAAGAGGCATTAGATATGGGTGAGTTTAAAACTGGTAGAGGCTTGAATCAAGAACTTGGTCTTTCAAGAGCTTGTGATACTCGTTGGGGATCTCATTACAAATCTTTTAAAAATTCTATTCTTATGTTTGGCTCTATTCTTGATGTTCTTGAAGCACTTGTTGTTGATGCACGTTTGATGGATAACAGAGCCAAGGCAATAGGATATCTCAAAACTTGTCAAACATTTGAGGTTGCATTCATATTGCATTTGATGATAGATGTTTTAGCAATCACAAATAAGCTAAATAAATGCTTACAAAAAAAAGGAGCAAGATATCGCAAATGCCATGCTACTTGTAGAAGTAGCAAAGAGAAGGTTGCAAAGTTTAAGAGAAGATGATTGGGATTCACTTATTGAAAAAGTATCTACATTTAGTATCAAGTATGGCATTTTGATACCTAATTTTGATGAGCCATACGTTAACTCTTTAAGATCGCGATGTAAATCTACCGATCATACTATTTTGCATCATTATCGTGTTGATGTGTTTTGTAAGATTATTGATTGGCAAATTTAAGAACTCAATGGTCGTTTTGACAAAGTGACTACTAATTTGCTTCATGGAGTTGCTTGTTTGAATCCAATTGACTCATTTTCTAGTTTTGACATCAAGAAGATCATGAAAATGGCAAAAATATATCCTGATGACTTTGATGAAGTTAGTATGGGTGATCTTGAGAATCAACTTGCGACATACATTATTGATGTCCGTGATATTGATGAAAGGTTCTCCAATTTGAATGGACTTTGTGATCTTTCAAGAAAATTGGTTCAGACAAAGAAGAATTTAAACTTCCCTCTTGTATTCTGCTTGGTGAAATTTGCTTTGCTTTTGCCAGTTGCCACTGCATCGGTTGAAAGAGCTTTTTCGGCAATGAAGTTTATCAAGAATGACATGCGGAATCGAATGAATGATGAACTTTTGAGTGGTTGTTTGGTGCCTTATGTAGAAAAAGTTGTATTTAGTACTATATCTAATGATGATATTATAAAAATATTTCAAGAAATGAAACCTCGTCGAGTACCATTGTAATAATATAATATTGTTTTGCTTTAGGCTGTGGTAACTTTGGTTTTGCTTCTAAGGTAGAGTTACATATTTTTCGTCACAACTTTTGCTTGTAATAGTTTTTTAGGTGTGTATTATCTGATGTGCTGAATCTTCTTGATTTGTTCCTCTTTTCCCTTGTACTGCTTCTTATAGCTATATATAGCTCAGATGAATAAAAAATGGTGTCTTCCTTTGAACCTACCCTTGTCTGCTTTCTCAAGCTCGTTAGTATGTGTTTGTTCCCAATGTTTTGGGTAGTTCACAAATTGTCAGCTTGTTTGTTTAGTGTCTATCTAGCTTTCTGCTTGATTCACCATATGAGAAAAATTGTGGTCTGACGGAAAAAAAAGTTTGTTGTTATTCTTGTTGTTTCACTAGTAGAATTATTTTTCTTGGTTTCTTCTTTAGATCTTGACACCTCTTTGTATAAATCCTGGCTCCGCCACTGATGGGTTGCATGCGCTATACCTTAACGACACGTTTGTCCTTTAAGGTATAACATATGCAACCCGTGCGCTATATTTGAAATTGACTGACCCACAATAATTGGTGGGTATATCGCATAGATTTATTGCGCTGCATATATAGCGCTTATAATGAATGTGTTATACCCTCAATTATTGTACCCCCGCACAGGTTTTTTGCTTATTTCAGGAGCTTCATTCTTTCTTCAAAAAATCCATTCAGGAAAAGTCAGTCTTCTGCATCCTTTTTATTTTTCTTTACTCATTCCGAAATATTTGTTTACTTAACTTTTTCTGCATTTTGCCATAATGTCTGAAGAGCAAAAAATTAGGGTTGCATTATATTAGGGGGGTGGGTTTGTCATGGAGAATAACTCAGTACACTATAGTTGTTCTCCACAGTGTATTGTTAAGTTGTCACTTACAATAGAGTACGATAGATTGGTATCATTATTATGTAGAAAATGAGTGTGAGAAAACGTTCGATTAATAATAAAGTAACCGAAATATATCCATATTTTATTACTCCGCAAAGGGTTGCTTGATAGGCTAAGTTTAACATCGAAAATGATGAAACCCTTAAAGAGTTTTTGAGGACTCCGGATGAACACCGAGAACTTCTTGTGATAAAAATATTAAAAATATACGTCAAGTCTGAAGACGTTCGCAATATTGAGGTTCCGCAAAATAGGGATAACCCTCAATCATCGGGTGGTATTTTTGGAGCAGTTTTATCCGACCAGGTTCCGTTTGAAAGAGTTTGGCCATATCTAAACTTATCTCCACAGGCGAATGAGGAGCGAGGACATAATTTCTTCACAAGTTTACATAATCCACACGCCGAGTGGTAAATTTTAATTTTCCTTTGTATTAGTATATTTTCTTTATATATCATATTTATATTAACACTCACATATTCCAAAGGGGGTACCAACTACATATAAATTTTACAAGTTATGAACCAACGGACAGTTGGAATGTGCCCAATTTGGTATTTTGGATCATGGTGGTCCATCCGGGAGTCATCAACAACTCGATAATGTGCATCATGGGATATCAACAGATTATGAGTTGTAAGTTAAGAAATAAAATTTATCTATAATATTGGGATGAATTTGAGAAACTCATTATTTTATTGGTTGTGCAGTGAAAACGAGTAACTTGAAGGTTCTGTCCTTACTCAATTGCCTGAAGATGATATATTTAATCAGGATCTGGCAAATACACAGAGTCAGGAAGATGATATTGATTATGATAACAATGCTGATAAGTCTGGAGATGACACACCCTTCCCTGATGAGGGCAATGATGAGGAGAAAATGTGCTTTGCTGATGAGAATGAGAATGAGTAACCTGATTTGCCGAGGGAGCATGATGCCACCAATGAGCATGCTTCATATATGCAGACTCTACCTCCCGTTAGACCTAGAGTGCACGAGTCACATGTGCCCTTTAATTCAAGGGCGATTCTTTACCTTGATCAGTTACCTAGTATGCCGGATGTGGATGACCTCACAAGAGATCTTGATGACATTTAGACGGCAATGTGGGATAAATCTAGACCAACAGTGCTGTCAAAGAATATGCTTTTTGCTGATAAAGCGCGCCTAAGCAGGGCGGAGCGAATGTACAACATAAAAGAGTGTCGTGAGATCGAGGTTCATGAGTCATCTCCGGAAGTATACAAGGTTATTTGTCGTAGATGGTTTTAAGGTTGTAGATGGATGCTGCATGCGAGAAAGTTGAAAACAAATATGTGGATTGTGGGAAAATACATTGTCACCCACACTTGTGATATGAACACATTCATTAGGAATCATTTTAACTTGAATGTTGACTTGATTTCTCTTGTCTTTATTCCACATATTGACTCGTCCATAAGGTACAAGATTAAAGAGTGTATAACATTTGTCCACCAGATATATGGTTGTACCATTACCAAAAGAAAAGCATTTCTCGGGCGTAAATGTGCGCTTGAGATTATTTATGGTAACTGGATAAGTCCTTTGCCGCTATACCCAGGTATATGGTTGCTTTGCAACACTTTAACGCCGGGATTGTTGTTGAATGGAAGCTTGAGCGGAGTATTGGAATATAAAAAATCATATTCAGATATGTGTTCTGAGCATTTAAACCAGCCATTGATGGTTTTGTGCATTATCAGCTGGTAATATCCATAGACGACACTCATGTCTATGGAAAGTATGATATTAAGTTGTTGATCGTCGTTGCAGTAGATGCTAATGGAAGCATATTTCCCCTTGCATTTGCTATTTGTGCCAAATAAAGTCAAGAAACTTGGACATTATTTTTTAACCACTTGAAGGAGCATGTTGTCAGACAACGTTCAAGTATTTGTCTAATATTTGATCGGCATAGTGGTATTTTAAGTTCTGTATAGAATTTAGGTGCATGGAAGGAACCGTATGCCTACCACCGTTATTGTGTTAGGCACTTGAAGGCCAACTTCCAGAGGGCTCATCCGAACAAGAGATTACATGATTTAATGTGGATGGCTGCAGCAGATCATCAAGAGTGTAAATTCAGGAGGCGAATAGAATTGATTAGGCAGGAAGACCCAGAAGCTTATTGTTGGTTGATGCGATATGAGCTTGACAAATGGACTTTGCATAAGGATGGTGGTAGAAGATGGGGAATTTTGACTACAAATATGTCAGAGTCTTTCAACAGGTTGTTGAAGTCTGCACGTGGATTGCATGTTACTGCCATGGTGCGGATGTCATTCAAGCAGATGACAGAGAGGTTTGTTGAAGGATCCAGAAGTGCATCGTCATTGATGAAAATGGGTATTGAATTTATGTCACCACCGATGAAACAATTTGAGAAATATAGGAAGCGAGCACAGTGGCATACATTTTTGCAGTATTGTAACGAGCGAAATATTTTTGAAGTTCGCACTAGTCTGCATCAAAACCACGGTAATAATACTCACACCATCAATGAACCTAGAAGATTATGTTCGTGTGGGAAATGGTCGATCTATCATTTGCCATGCTCACATGCCATGAAGTTCTTTCAACATACAGGTTTTGCGGCGACGAGGTACGATGATAAAGAATATAGTGTTGTTTTATACGTAAACACCTATAGTGGCCACTTCCAACAAGTAGGTGCCGAGCATTATTGACTGTCGGGACTATTTAAAATGGTGTGTAACAAGGATTATGTGTGTCAATGGCAAGTGCAAAAAAGAATGCGGATACTGAATCAAATGGAGGTTGGTGATACCGTTTATGCGCGTAAATGCGGTATATGTTCCCAAACAGGACACGATCGCCGTAAATGTCCTTCAGTTGGTTTGGGAAGCGGTGGTAAATCAGCTCCAGGTGGCAGTTCATCCAATGTGCCCAATTATCAAGGATAAATTTAGTGTCTTGTTGCAGTATTTTTGTTGTACTAAATGTCTGTAAAGGTTTTGTTTGCAATACTTATGAAATAAAATTAAGTTTCCAATAGGCTTAAATCTAATTGACATTTAGCATTGAAGATTCAATACAATAATTTAAAATAACTTCAAGAAATAAATAACGACTTTCATTCTTTATTATCGTCACTGTTTGGCACTATTTCATTGTCATTGTCTTCATCTTCTTTGTCAACATCTTGTACGCATTCGTCCAGATCGAGGAAATCATAATCTAGGCTTCAGTTGGCACACATTTTTCGTATTTTATCGCTATCATCAATAAGACCACTTGCTTGATTTCTACAACAATATGGGACTTCTACGTCCAACGTCTACGGTAGAAACTTAGGTAGTCCCTCCCACTCGACAACTGTTAGAAATACAAGATAATCAATGT